GCAGGAATTGGATGCACTAAATGTAAAGGAGGAGGCTCTAAGAGCTGTATGTATGATAACAAGTGATGTCTGTACCAATCTGCACTGAACTTTAGAGTGAAAAATAATACAGTAGAAAAATACCTATAATTTTTCTCCCTAAATTTTCATATATTGTAGGATCATGACCTAGAATGAGAAGGCAAAACTGCCTCTCTGTATGCCACCAAAAATTTCTAATCAGTTGTGATTAAAAATTGTTTTTGTTAGATGCCAAGTACAAAATTTCGATAGCAATAGTGAGGTTTCCTAGCTTTAGTTACTCATGTGGTTTCATGTGTTTTGTGTGACATTTGATTGATTTGGAATTACTCTGAAGATAACTGAAATTATCATTCACATCCTTCTTACGGATTTGTGAGACCTAATTTTTCAATATGTTTTCAGCATTCAGGATGTGTGAGAATAATTGTCTTGTTCCACTTTCCATTTCAAAAGCAACTGACATTTGCAGCACAAAGTGGTACTTGCTAAGATATTTTTTATCCCAAATACATACATAAGCACACACTTTCAATACACAGTCATATTGCTCGATTGAGGAGAATTTTCTCATATTGTGTATTTCATGGATGAAAGGATCTATAAGCTGAAACATACAGTCATTTATATATTCAGAAAGCATATTTTTTAAATACTACTAGACATTTTTCCTGTCCTTTTGAATACTGTATATGGTTTGTGATCCCGTAGAAATGATGAAGTAGTTAATCTACTCAGAAAATTGGTCTGAGGATGAACTCATAAAGCAAGAAGTAGCTGACTGGAATATTCCATTCCAGAAAATGCAATATTGAGAATACGGATTGTAAAGTTTGTTGTTTATACTGTCTCTGTACTGTTTGTAACAAATACACTTCACTTTCAATGTATCTATAAGTGCTGCCTAACTAAAGCATAATTTCTACAATGCTTGCCTGCCATCTGAAAATAGCAAGTAGGTGTTTGTTTTTCCCAACAGGAAATAGCACACTCCCAAGTGAAACAGGAGGCTGTGCAGCTGTGTGAAAAGCTCCATGAGCTTGAGGAACGTCGAGATCAAATGATTTCTGAGGATAAGAACATGGAATCTCCACAGGAGGAAAGAGAGAGATTACTAAAGCAGGCAAGAACATAAAATGTTATCATGTAAATATTCTCTGAGTCAGTATTTTAAGGGATGATAATATTTGAAAATACTTGGGTTTGAATGTTGCCTTCATTTGGTCTTTTAGCAGCACAAATCATCTGAAATTAAGAACAGTTAATGAATTGACTGGATGGGATGTTTCAGGTTCAGCCAAAGGAAAATTGGCATAGTTAGCTTTTCAGCTGGTAGACTTGTCCAATTCATCAGTCATGTTGGTATGGGAAAACTGATCCTATTGAACCATTCTATAACGTAACTCCAGACAGTGTCCTTGTGGGGTACTACACAGGCATACTAATCCAGGAAAAATTTAGTTTATAAAGGTCCGTGCTGTGTTATGTCGCTATCCATATATACTATATGGAATATTGACTGAATGACATTGATAAGTTTGACTGTATTGAGAAAGCAGGAGAACACATAACACTTAAATCATATCACTACTTCTCTTCAATGAGGAGCTGTTGTTGGATAATGTGACAGCAAGTTTGTGATTTCATATACTGAGTTTCTGTTCCCTGTCTACTGAATTAAGAAATCTGTTTTGATTTTCCTTTTTTCATTTTTAGATTTGATTTCATATGTTAAAGTTGTTATACTTTTTTATAGGTTAAGGACGATAGTCAAGAAATAGCAAGCATGGAAAGACAGTGAGTAATCCCATTATACTGTTGCTACAAATTACATTTAGACCTTAAAGACAGGTAGTTGAATTCCATCAGATATTTCTATGGACTTTGAGAACATCACCATATTTTCAAGCCTGTGCTAGTGTTAACCTTTCACAGAGAAGTGTTAACCTTTCACCTTTTTGAAGATTTGCCAGAAACTCTGGTAAATGTTATAATAAACAGTAAGGTATTGGGGGGGGGTGGGGTGGTAAAACAGTATAATTTTTTTTTTTATTTTGAGCCTTTGATTTTTATCTCTTTACAGAAGAATTGAGATAATTTCTGAAATCTCCTAGAAACAATTTTAAATTCTTTTAAGCAGTATTCCCAACTGTAATCATTGGTTTAATTTTTAATGCATTGACACCTTTGACAGGATAATAAGTTGTTTAACAGAATTTTTTGAAAGAAACAATAACAGAGAATTATATTTGAGAATTTACATAGAAATGTTTTTAAGCAGTTGATTATGAATACAATGTTTTTGTTACTGGAATTTAGGGAACACGTAGGTAATTTTTAAGGAACTACCTGTTGTAGTTTACCACTTATGTTGTACCTATGCAAAGCTGTATAGCAACCAGCAGAGGGACCAGTTGAATAAGTTAAGAACTACTGACGACTCAACAAAAAATGTTTTTAATAAAAAAGAGCAGCAGTACTTATATTTAATAGATATAGGGACTAAAGAGACATATGCTTTACATATACTTCTTACAGCAACAGCAATCCTCCTGATACTGTTTTGGTTTTGAAAAACTTAGGTTTGCCATTTTTATTCTTGATTTTTCCCTCCATTTTTGTCTAAAAAAATTAAGTATTTTACAACACATTCTTAACCTTGGATTATCTATTTGTCAGGCTGACAGAAGTAAAAGAGAAAACAAACCATTTTAAAAAGGTCATTCAACGACTTGATATGGATCTGGAGAATTATCAAGGTAATATAACTATATTGTAGCAAACTATGCACAGCTGCATCTGTTCAGATTATAACATACTGTTATGGGCATTAGTTGCTTGAATCGTTTAGGCTTATGCACTTCACTACTTCACTATGAGAAGGTTTTGTGTCTAGGGGTGCAGACTTCTCTTTTCAGATGTAAGAAACAGGGAGTACCCCCCATTAGTGGCACATTCATCAAGTTCTTACTGAATAGTAAAACTACCATATAAACTAATAGTAAAGCTGTCTGGTTTTCTGTCCCAATTTTATTTTTAGGACTACTGGAGCAATAGAAGTTTCTCTTACTGGCAGCATTGCAGAACCAGCTCGGCTTTAGAAAAGCTTTTATTTATTTTACCCTTTACATGATCTGATACATGTGGAATTGAGAATGTTTAATAATAATGTGTCAAGCAGACAGAATTCCATACTATTTATATCTGTCTTTGAAACTTCTTGGGTTGATATTTGAAAGAAGAGTTTGGGAGCTGCTTACAAATGGCATTAGCTTAGAAACTTACCTCCAACAAACACCTGCTGTAGTATATTAGTCTAGGTGAGGTTGGGATTTGTCTTAGCACTGAAGTTATGGTTCTGGAGGACGTAACTTAGTTTGAGCATAGGCCCTCAATGGCTGTGGAAGATTCTGTTTAAAATGGAAATTCATCCCACAGAAAACCTTCTAATTACAAGGAATCGTGTTTAGATAGGAGTGACATAAATATGTGCATACATTCTGGAAAACCTTGTAAACAAGTTATTTTAATTCTATAGGAATGATAATTAATGTGTTTGTGTCCTTTTTACTTTATACCTTTTCTTGGATAATCAGTATAAAATTTAGCTGTAAATTTCTTCAAGGTGAACAAATATTTCTAAAATTAGCCCTAAATAAATGTTTGATACATCTGTTTCTCATCTTTTACGTTACAAAATATTTCGTATTTCTCCAGATACTTCATTATTTTTGTGTAAAAAATTTATTAAGACTGTTTGATTAGCTTTCTTGTTTCCAGATAGTATCATTGCTAACTTTACTATCCTGCTTTAATTTTTCCTTTTTGTTTGGCTTGCAACTCTTTTTTTTGTATCTTCGGAGAAATGCAGAAGGTAAGAAGTTAGTTGCTTTTTGCATTTTATAGTTAGGTTTACACACACAATCATTCATTGCTGGACTGATGTCTTTCACTGTTCTAGGAAAAAACCTCTGTTGAAGACGAGGGTTTAAAGCATATGTAGGAGAAAGCACATGCTCTCTGTCGCACATGCTATCTGTCAACATAGCAGAATGATCAGGATATTCAGAATAAAGTTACCTTGTGATGTAATATAGAGGGAATTGTACCTGTTGGTATAACATAGAGCGAATAAAGAAGATACTCATAAGGAGTAGCTTTAAGACACAGAAATCTAATCTTCCAGTGCCCTCTTCTCTAGTGAATGGAGAGAGAATCCCAAAGGGCCATTCATACTTCTGCTCTAAATCCAAATCCTGGTGTGTCCTTGAGATTCCTGTCCTACCTCCCTTCCTGTTCAGCTTACTTCTGGCTCAGTAGTTAAACTGTTTATTACAAAGCATTCACAAAACTTTACCTCCTAAAGTTTTTTAGTGAAATTTAAGGTAAATTGGCCAGTAAAAAAAAAATTACGACAAATTATTATTTTAATGTTTCAGGATAAATATTTCAGTGCTAGGAACACTATTGAGTAGGAAAAACCAAATAAACAGACCATAAATAGAAACAGCTATTTTTAGTTTTCACTTCAGAAAATCTAAGTAAAAAACTCACCCACTTATATGTTCAGTATATTAGTTGCCTTTAACTGATTAGTCAAAATCAACATTAACTCATAATGGAATAGACTTAACACTTCATAAATTGCATGTGAGGTTACAATATAGATGTAACAGTGCCATATTTTGAAGAAAACTTCTCTGTAAAGACATTTTAAAGGTAGTGGGTTTTATTTCAAATATTTTTTCTTTGAACACTGGGCAGATGATGTCGCTCCCTGTTTCATGGCTCATTGTAACTAGACTTTTCAAGAGTAGAACAGAGTTATTAAGTATTGGAGACTTGCCTTGCAAAATGAAAGAGAGAGTCCAGCAAGGAACAAAACCACAGCTGCAAGGAAGCTGAAGCAGAATCACAGTCCCTTTGGGCCCACTGGTGTTCTTATTGTTTGTATATACTAGATAAAAAGGAAAGCATGGGTGTGTACAAGTAAAAAGACCTGGAGAAATTTGCTTGCTCAGTTATATCTGTACTACTTCATTCTTTTTTTTAATATTCTTAAAGTTACAAGATTATGCTGAAAATTAATCAATGAACAAGACTCAAACAATTAAAACTTCAAATGTTCAAAACTTAAATTTATTCTTAGGAGCTGAATTGTCTCATCTTCTTGAAACTTGTGACAAGTATGTCAGATCTCCCACTTTACTAGTACATTTTAATTAAGAGCTAGTTATAGTCAGTAGTTGGATTTAAAGATGGAGTGAATTATGTATTGTATGCTATTCATTACTCCTAATACCACTATAAAGAATGTATATGGACATGTTCTTTTAAACTTAATTGTGGAAAGCTTTCTGTGCATTTTATTTTCCTATACCATTACTTGTACAGTTTTCCTTTTTGTTTCCCTGAGACTGTCACACTGTTGCTTACAGGCTGCATATCCTTATGAAAGTCCAATCTAATACGTGAAAGTGCCACTGAAATGGCCTATATGTTAAACAGAGCTGCAGAAAGTTTTAACTAACCATGGTGCCCAAATACACAAAACCATTTGTTCTCTATTATTGAAATTCACCTAACTTCAGAAAAATCCTATGAACTTCTTTTGTTCAAATGAAGTATTTATCCCACTCTTATTTATAAAAAATTCTAACCTCTAACAGGTTCTAAAAATTACATTGGCACTGATTTATTAAGCTATTTTTTTTTTTTAATATAACTGTGTAACATAGTCAGTTGAAGTGACTACATTAAATGACATGGGATGAGTCCATGGGATGAGTAGTTTCTAGGCATGTAGAATTTTTATTTTTAAAACTGACATTTTGCCTACCCAAAGAAATCCAGGACTGAGACAACATAAAGTAAAATCAGTGTAACATCTCTTCCAGGAGAGGAAAATTGGAAATACAAGGAGCTGAAGAAGAAGGAAGAAAGCATGGACAGTAAGTTGTGCAGTATACTTAATTAGGCCTAATTGCACTAAAATACAGTTTTTCTTTTCTTGTTAACACTCAGTTAATTTAGACCTGAAAAGAACTGATGTCCTGATGTTTGCATAAAGTTTCTGTGATCTACCTGAGGACAAGATAATTGATATCTTAGGACTTACAGGACACTCACAAATATTTGGAGCATCTTTCAAGGCTTTTCATCAGACCTTAAAGGTCTTAGGAACACAGCTTTATTTTATGAAAGCAAGGCTGAAATTAATTTTAAAATTAATTTACATAAAAGATATATAAAACCATCTGATCATGTCTGATTAAAAGCAGAACTACAAAATGGATGAGCATAGACATCACATAATTCTTTAAAATTAAGGTTTCTCATATTTGTTTATTCAAGATGAATGCTACTAAAACTTTCTTCCATATTAAAAGGTTCTAATGTTGTAGAGACCTCAGCAGCAACTAACAGGATGAAAACAGAACGGTTTATAAAATATGCCCTATTGCTAGTATACTGTAGTAAGCAGCTTACAAAAATAGGTGGTCTTACCCAGCAAAAGGGGAAAATGATCACTAAGTAAGTTGTGAAGGCCAAGGTATATAATACTACTCTAAAAATGTTCAATATAACTTATGGCTAGTGTGATACTGAAAAAAACATCTCAGCTGACAATAAGGAAACATGTATAAGGGTGTACTTAGAATTTCTGCGTTTTCAAATTACCTGATTTCCTGAGAAGTGGAAGGACAAAAGCTCGCTTGATCTAGATTTTCAGTACAAATACAGACCGTAAAAGCGGGGCCTCGTGATCCTTCTGACTTTTTGGGTTTTCGTTCTTCTTCTGCCATCATCAGAGGATATTGGTGCATATATGTGGAGGATAGAAAAGAAGTAATACACAAATAGTTGCAGAAAGACTTCAGGTTGGTTACTAGAAAAAACTTTCTAACATTAAAACTCACCAAATGTTGGAATAGATTGTTCAGGAGGATTGTAGAGTATCTATCATGAGCTGTCTGTAAGAAGAGTATAGACAAACATCTGAATTACTCACATACAGTTGATTTTGTCCTGGAGCAAGTGAATTAATTAGATGACCTCTTGCAGTCTCTTCTATTCAATTTTTTATGAATCTGTGAAACACGTAGTGCTCAGATGAAACAAGGTCAATCAGACAGGTGTAATTGTTGCTTTCAGAAAGACAGTGAGATGAGATGTAAATATGGACCTTGCTTAATGTTTCTAAATAAATTAAAGAACGTTTGAAAAAACCACCTAAAATGGTCCAGAATGCCAAAGGAGAAAAACACTTGTAAAATAGTATAGGTACGATTGTTAGGTCCTAATTCCACTGTTTCAGGCTCAGTTTTGTAAAATTATATATTTGTGGATGTAACACGCTTTAGTTTTGTTCTCATTTCATATTTATGAATGTGTGAGAATGCTTTTGTTTCATCAAGGTGCTTTTATTTCACTCCTCTGCCTTCCCTACCTATATGCTTTGGAAGATTCAATATTCTCGTTGCCTACAGCTTCATGGGAAGCAAATAAGTAAGTTTGTCAAGATATGGCAATGAACTTGTTTAAGACCTCCTGCTAAGATACATCAAAGGCCATGGCATCATCTGTTATGTTGAAAAGAGGAAGCTTAGACCCCCACAAGAGACAGATGTTAATGAAGCCTTTGCTCACCACTAAACAGTTAAATGTAATTGAAAGTTTTGTGTTAGGTTATCTGAGTGATTCTGTTTGTAAAAATTACCCACATTTTTTTAAACAAAAAAGGAAAGAACAAATATTTTAAACACAAAACATTAAGTGAGAATTTCGATACTATTACTTTCCATACTTTTCTTAGTGTAGAAAATTCCTGTCTGTATTTCACAGCAACAGGTGCTATGAAATATCCAGTAAGTGACCTTTGAGGAAGGAGCTCTTTTTTGGAGCTGTCGTTGTTGCTTCCCTTATTAAAGTATAATTGTGCAATCCTTAAGATAAAACAAGACAAGTTCATTCTGAAGGAAAAGAACATCACAGAGAAAATAAACTTCCCTTTCTAAGGATAGCTTCATTTGCAGCCTGGGTACTGGAGAAAAACAGACCTGGCAATGATGTTATTTAACACTTGGGACCTGACTAGCTTTGTTTCAATTGCAGGCTATTTAAGTTTTGGTTTTAACTATGTTTCTGGTTACTGGTTCACAGCAGTGTTGGCAAAAGATAAACCTTCTTACCTTCTTGACAAGTACTGTTCTGTGCAATTACAAGTCAGTGTCAGGTGGACTGAAACTTTATTTCAGCTTTTTTGAGCTAACTGAATCTGCATCAGAACTAGTCATTATTTTTAGCAATCAGCTGTGCACATTACAAATATGTTGTCTAATGCCATTTATGGACCTCTGAGAATTCCGTGTGTCTTTCATCCTGAAATCTCTGCCTCAGAGATAGTCTTTGTAGTGACTTAGTATTGTCCCTTGGTTCCAATAATGCACATTTTTCCCTCTAAAATTTTTAGAAACTGTACTCTATGAAGCATCTGTTTTACCTCTTTCATGGACAGCATTACAGATTATGTCAGATATTACGAAGTTTTCTTACCCATAAATGTTTTATTTCTAAAGAATTTAAAAATTTGATTTTTAAAAAAGATTCTGGATGCTCTGGGATCTGCAATTCTCTAGTCAGTCCTAATCTCTTCAGGATTTGTATTTCCCTCAAGTAGTTCCTCCTGTCATCTTTCACTCTTCCCAAATAATCCATCTTGGATTTACTATTATCTAATCCTTCTTGCCCAAACAAGCACTTCTCCCCTTTTTCATCCAGCTAGGAAGTTTGCAAACTCTTACATTTCCTGAGTGCTCCTGTATATATAAGCCATGTTTCAGGAGGAGACTCAGCAGAAGAGGGATGACACATAACTTGTAGCCCTGGGTGGCATCTTGATGGACCTCTGACTTCCTTGTGATGTGTCCAGCACCTTTTTTTCAATGTGTCTGTCACCAGGAATACAGTGTAGTATGCCAGGGACACAACTAGAGAGTGCATACCACCATTACAACTGTCTTGTAAGATTCAATTGAACACTTACTAGAATGAGTATAAATTACAGATGTAGCAAAGGGACATCATACAGAAAGAAAGAGATGATACCAGGTGAATACTGGTCTGAGGTCCATAGCAGTGTTAGGCATTTAGTCCAGGCCATTAGAGGTAACGAAGTCACAAGTTTCCTTTATATAGTAGCCCATTTTGATAGCTTTCAGAAAAATGAAGACCAATAGCTGCTGGGACAAGCATTCAGAAAGGTGTCAGAAATGATGGTGGTGAAAATCCTTTCCCATTGGGTGGCAACTCTCACCTAAACAGTATCCAAGAAGGTGGTGACCTCATGTCATTAATCGGTCAAATATGTATCTCTCGAAAAATTGTCCTCTTCTTCATTCCAACCCATAAGTTGACAAATTTCAAGGACTCTACCACCTGTCTCTTGAATAAACTATTAAAGTAAGCTGTCTGAAATTGTACAGCTTATCAATTTAATATGAAGTTTTCACTGGAAACAACAAGGGCTTGTGCAGTACCCACACAAAGATCAGCCTTTATCGTGTTTGTTGATCTCTAGATTTTCTTGAGACTTTTGAAGAGGTGAAAAATCAGGAATTGGAACGAAAGGCCCAAACAGAAGCCAACATTGTTGCACTTCTGGAGCACTCAAGCAGGGTAAGTGCATTTCCCTTCTCTTGTGGCAAGCTACGAATTAAGAAGCACAGAACAGGAGAACAAATAGATAAAGAAGGATGGTTATTTTCATGTGTTATCCAGTCAATATCTTCATAATAATATCTTAAGAGGATTAACGTTAAACCATGTACAGCTGTAGTTCAAAAAAAAAAAAAAAAAAAAAAAAAAAAATTTAATTTTTCTACTTTTAGATTATTATATGAATTTTCTATAGAGTTTTGAATATTAGATAATACTTGTGACCAGAATAAAGGATATGTTCACATAATTGCATAAGTCATCATCATTGCTATAATGAACATTATTCCATTCATGATAAACATTTCAGAATACTGCAAAGAAAACCTCTGCAATATTTTGGTTCCTTAAAGTCTACAAGTCTCAGTTCTTGGGTATTCTGTCAGTACTATTAAGTAACTGACAATATTCCAGTTATCTCTCTCATCTACTAAAATTATGTCTGGAATACCCTGCTGTGTAGTATTTGATGTAATCACTTTAGAAATTGTTCCTATTTGCAGTCTGCCATTTTTTGCACTTTCAAAACATTTTTTCTTTTAACATTTTTGGTTCCCATGGATTTTTTTCTTATGGAAATCTTCCAGCTGAGTAATACTTTGATTATATCATCACATAATTGTCTTCTAACTCTTTCAGTATGGCATACCATAGGTATGCAATAACACTTACTTTAGAAGAGATTGATATGGCAAAACATACTTCCTGTATTTTTGTTGCATCTTTACTGGCCTCTCAGTACATCTTTTATCAAAAGTTGACAGAATGAAAATCATTCACATTTAAATCACTTCAGATTACTTCCAATATTTTCAGTCTTCATAGTAGAAAAGGCAAATAATAGATAATGGACTAGAACAGGAGAGTTTTTTACTTGCCCAGTTACCATTTGTTGGTTCAAAGATACAACATGATCTCATTATTGTCTTTGGTAACACACAGAATGTGAATCATATGAAACAAATTTCATCTGTTACCAATCAAGAGCTGAAGATTATGCAGGAAGACCTCACTTTCAAATCAAATGAAATGCAGAAATCACAGAGCACTGCTAAGAATCTGCTTACAGGTGAGATCAGCAATGAATTTTCAAATTAATTCCTTAAAAAAGTTAAAATAACCTGAGATTTTACACTAATAAGTGCAAGATCAGTGATCTCCAAATATTAAATTACAAATACAGTGACAAGTTGACAGATAGAAACTCTTGTGGCTAGCAAGATATTTATATTCCTCAGGAGTATTTAACTTACTAGTATCAGTAAATGATCAGCTTCCTTACACAAATATATGTTAAGCAGATGCATTTTAATACAGGGCTACAAAGTTGTTGAGCTAGAAGTTTGACTTTACTAATATTCCCCTTGAAACAAACATTTTTCACAATCTTAAAATAGTGTTTAATGAATTGAAGTAGATACTTCCACAGCTATCTAGCCATGTATTATTTGTAAATGTAGTTCTTAGTATCACTTACTCGTGGTTTGTGCTTTTCTAAAGGACTATGTACCATGGGAGAGTAACTGGCAACAGCAGCTCTCAAATTCTCAGGCTTTGATTCTGCAAAGTGAATATTCATTTTGACTTCATTTTGGAAATGCTCAAATACTGAAAATTAAATGTAAGAATCTTCAGGATCTTGCCTGTAATTTCAAAAAGCAGACATTATTTTTCTTTCATTTCCGTAACAAGTATCTATTTAGTTCTTTATTTGCACTGTTTATAGTGGAATTGTTCTCATAATTCTAAGCCTTTGCCAATATCATTATTGGTTCAGCAAGCCTTTCCTTGTTTGTTTGGCTGAAAGGAAGGGGCAGGAATTAAGAACCATAAATCATTTTGTTAGAAGGCTATTACGTGCTGTACTTGGTAGTAATTTTCAAAATAGGAGCCTGTGTTGTAACTTTAAAGCAGTTATGTGCAAATAAGAAATTGTTATGCACAGAGTGTTACAGGAATTGATTGTTGTGTGTTTGAACATTTAATATTCATTTCTCTGCAAATACTCATTTTGCAGTCCTAGTGTAGTTTAAAAAGCTGGGCCGTACATTACAAGTTCAAATATCACTTCTTGCTCTTTTGTAAGCATCAATCCTTATTACTTCACAATATAAGGATGTTCTGGAAGCACATAGCACTATGGAGACATCACTGAAAGACATATTTCTTTGCAAGGGGAGAGAAGAAAATTACAGTATATAATTTTCAGCAGATCATTTAAATGATTCATAAGTAAATTTCTGAAAGTAAGGAGTCACAGATACTGTAATAAACAACTTAAGTTTCTTTCAAAAGTACAGTGAATGTTCAGTTTGCACAGTTGAAGTTCTTCCTAACCCTTGAGTTACACTACAGTCATCTTCAGGATTCTTTTGTTGTGATTAAAGTCTGGATTTCCATATTTTCTTGCCATAATAAAGATATTAAAAGTCCACCAGCAGAACCCTTAAAAAAAAAATAAAAATAAAAAAAAGAAGAAAAAAATTAAAAAAAAATAAAAAAAGAAGAAGAAAAAAAAAAAGAAAAGGAAACCATGAAGAGTAAACAAAAGTGCTGATGGCATAGTTTCCCAAAAACATTTCCCTGGGTCACTGTAGTTTGGTCTGAGAGTTTGCTACTGTGTACACACTCCCTGCTAGACGCTGCAACTTCATGGCGTATCAGAAGGAACTGGGCTGCATCCTCTTCCTGTCTCTTCCCCTAGAGAAGTTTTGAGTTTTTTACTTTTGAGTTTTTTTCATTGAGGCTGTTGCTGCATAAGGATAAAATTCACCCTTTCCACTTTCTTCCCTTTTCTCCAGAAAGTGTAAATGGATAGGGAGTAGCCCATTGCTGTCTCACCATACTTTTTATCCGTGTATATATATAGAACAGTCTAAAAATCCTTTCTAGCTTTTAGGCATTTATGTTGTTAATAATCTTTACATGTAGAATAAATCCCAATTAATCAACTATGTATTATTTTAAAATAACAAAATATAAATATTAGAACAACCATCTAAAAAGCAAAAATTCTGTGATTAGGCCTAAATAAATCCTTAAGAAAATCTAAAGTGGTTTTCTGCCATTTCTCTCCAATTTTAATTATTTTCATTTTATAGTTCTATTTTTTACTGATTTTAATGTCCAAGCCCTGATTTATTAAGGTCCCTTGAGCATTTGTCTGTCTTTAAACCACAGTGACATAGGAACAAGAGAAGTAGAGCAGTGGTCTGTTCAGTTGTGGTTTAGGATCTGACACTGACCAACACCAGGAACTTCAAAGTGAAACTATGGGCAGTTATGACATATTCTAGACTGAGGGAAAGTGTTTTCTTAAGCCCTTTAAGGTAGAAAGCAGCATAAACATTGAATCACAGACATGCAATGCAGTTCCAAATATTTTATTTTTAAATACATCTTTTTACCGATATGGAATTTTTTCTTATTTATATAAATGCTCTTTGCACATACAGCACCCTTTCAATCTTAGCTTATGGAAGTGTGTTCCTCAGGATAATTACATATTGTACACAAAAACATTGGCTTGTCTTTTTTTTTATTTTGAGGTTCCTAATGAAATCAACAAAGGACTCTGTAATAAGCCATAAATGTTCATTAAAGCAAATGTTTCACTCTAAAAAATGAGTATATGGCATAAATACACAAGAGGAGAGATGAATACCAAAATCTTGCTATGAAAGGGTTTTGATCAGGTGAGATTTTCCCAAGTAATTCCAAGGAAATCATACCCACAGGTTTTGGAAAGGTGAAATCTCCCTCTGTCACATATGCACATCCACTCCCTCCTGCCATAAAGATCTCTACTGCCTTGGTTAAGTTGGGGGGAAATTTTCCTACCCTTTGTCCAGGTATTCAGCACAAATCTGAGCATGTGAACAAAATATACAGTCTATGCCAACAGAAGTTTCTTTGTGCTGTCTCGTCCCTCCCCATATCCAATTCTACAAGAATGTAGAAAAAAATCCTGCATTATTTGTGTTATTCTTTTGAGTTAGACGCAGCTCTGAAACATAAGATTATGTAGCCATGTATTTAAATGTTCAGGAACGTGAAGAAAATATGTCAACAAGGCTGCAGAAAACTATCCAAAACAAGTATAGCCACACCCAGTCCTTCCATGCTCAAAGTGGCAATTTATCCCCACACCTGGATCAAAGTATATTTTTTATTTTTTGTGTCTTTATTGTGTCCTCTCTTAAGCATCTCGTGTCTGAACAGTTTGAGTCTTTAGATGTGTCTTCATACAAGAATCCATCCATACTTCTATCTCCTTTAATTACCTGTATCTCTGCTGTCTCTTTATAATGGATTGTCAGAAGTAAATACTGTATATTGTAGCACATGCTGATTTTGTAAGCTGTGACAGTTCTTATTCTGTGGAGATATGGAAGTGTTTTCCTGTACAGAGTGAATGTTTAAAGCAGATTTGAGTATTTACTCTCATAAAACTAAGTCTTATCATATACAAGTGACATAAATAAAAACTATGTAATGCTACAAATGAACAAAAATAATTTTTTAAATTGTCTGCATTATTGCAGTCAACTTTTTGTAAGATATCACCACTGCTTTAAGACTTTAAATTGACTGGTGCTATAAACAACTTTAACAACAGAAATATCACACTGTGATGTAGAAAATCACCACATTTTCATTACTCACAAAATATGATACAGTAATTGTAATATAAGAGTCTGACATAGGGGATGATTGTGAAGATTTTTTTTTTCTTTCATTCACATTAACATTCCCATGAATATCAAAATCAGAAAGATATGCAGGAGCTTTTTGTATTGCTTAAGTATAGCATAAACCTTTATATACTGGGCAATGTATTATGAAATAAAAAGTACTGTTAATTAGAGATTGTGTATCTGGTGATCTAGAGAGTCAAAAACTGCAGATGGACCTACAGAAGATGGAACTCTTGGAGGGCAAGATGGTTGATGAACTGGCTTCTCTTAAAGACAAAATTGAACAAACAAAAGTGGAGTTGGAGGTCTATGGTAATTTGCCAGCTCTGAAAGCATCAGGAGAAGAGAAGAAAAAGGTAATGAAAGGAATGAAACGGATTATACACAATTTGTGTGGGTTTGAGCACCTAATGGAGGGGAATCCAGGTCTATGACTGGGAATCCTGACTGACAGCTGGAAACTGGGCTTGCACACCAGCACAAATGAATCCAAATGCTTCTCTGCTTACATATGTGACTTATTAACTGGGTACATGTAGCAGGCTTTCAGCTGGATACCTTTTGATAACTTCCTTGCACAAAACTTCCCATTTATTTTAGTAATTCGTCTGAACTTTTCTGCTGTAACTTATGTCTATCCATAAGTTTGAATTTAGCAATCTAACCACAGGACCCAAACAGAAGAAAAATCTATCTTGCATGTATTTTCTCTAAGACAAACTCCATCTAAAGCACTTCCCATTTCATTTCTGAGAAATCTGCAAATTCTTGACATCAGCATTCCCATTTGTGCTGATATAGTATGATCTATGCCTACAACTTGGTCATAACCATTGAACAGTATCTTTAGGACAGAGCATGCATTGCTCCAGAAAAGCCTTATGAGTTCTTTATGCATGTGATCTCTTTCTGAAAGGAAGAAAAAGTAACATCTTGAAAGCTGAATTAAAATAATTTGTCTGTAGTCCACAGCAAATGAACTCATCTGTTAATCGGTTTGTACTCTTTTGGGTTTTTTCCAACTAGAGACTCCAGGATGACAAAGAAAAATTAACAAAACGTAGCCATGCTTTCAAAAAAATAATGGAACACTTGAATACAGAGTATGAGACAGTAAAGAAAGAACTGCAAGAGAATGAGACACATTCTCAGGTACAGCTTAAGCTACATATTATATCTTCAGTTGTTTCTATTGCAGTTTTGGTTTTCTCATACACATGAAGCATTGTATGGATGGAATCAGTTTATTCCTTCTCAGGCAGTTTTGAAAGTTATGTGTTGTAAATGCATAGGCATATTTTCTGTTTTCAAACAGAAGTTAATATTGTGCCAATAAATTTCTTGTAAGCTTTGGATTTCAGAGTTACTAGGCAGAGGTATTTCTGAGCTTAAAAACTGTGTGAATCCTTTAAGTGTTTGTACTGATCTTGCTCAGAACCCCTGCTGACCTTCCTTTGCTTGAGGAGTTTTGAGGACCAACTTAGAAAGAAACTACGGGGAAAAAAAAGTAATGACTAATTAGATAAGATCCCTTTTGCTTTTAAAGTTACGGTATTAAGTTTTTTCTTGCAACCTGTATTATTAATTCCATTTCCCTTTTTCCAATCCTTCTGCTCCTTGCAGACCACTGAAGTTTTAAGGTTTGTTCAGACTTCTTTAAATCCAAGGAATTTGGCATATGAGTATATTTACATTTAGATTTCAAAAGTGAATCAGGAAATAAGATATTTATAAACTCTTGAGCAGTTTTGATTCTTCCATGATAAACACCCATAAGTTGCTGTCATTTTGGCAACAGAACTTTACTGCATATAGGTTTGAATGCACTGAAGGAAAATGTTTAACCTCAAAATAAACTGAAAAATGGAATTTGATTATTTTCTCTGCATTTCACTGATTTTTATTGTTTAAGGTTGTTGAGATCTTTGGCCTTTAGAACTGTTACTTTTTTCTAATTCAGTTAAAAGCTAAAGGTGATATTTTTCCATGTTTAAGTTAACTTTGTTCTGGAGTGAGCTTTATGGAGCTGATTGAGAGGGCATCACTCTCAATGAGGAGATACATGTATACAATTGTAGCATATGATTACTGTGGGATAACTCTAGGGTAATGAAATAAATCCCCAAAGCAGCATGCCGAAGTCTGCAAGACTTCAGATATCGTATATTTTTTATGCCAAGATCAGATTCTTATTCATAGAGATTATGTAAACCAGAAATAGATACCCAGCCAGTGTTTAGATACTTGCATAATCATGCTAAAAATTTTATATAAAATAGTAGTTGTGCAGCATTTCTTCAGTTCATTAAGCTGTGGCAGGTCTATTTCAATGTGTGCAGAAAAGGTTTATTTCTTTCCTTTTTATGTAATGAGTGTAAATGTCACAAGGGTGAATAAAGGTATATCTTAAAATAGGTGATTAGTTGGCATGCATCAAGTATTTTGAAGTACAAATAGTGTTTACATATCTTGAGGGTTTAGGCTATTTTGCAAGCAGTCGACTGTGTGAGTTGTGGCCCTCAAGGAGTTACTATAAAAATGCACGGAATATTTCCTTTGGATATATCAGACAGTATTTTAAATCTATGCTCCTTTACCAGCTGTATTGCATGTAGCAACATCCACAAATGGAAATAAATGACTACCAGACAGCTGATTCTTCACTGTAAGATTTATTTTCAGTAATACAGCAACTATTTTCATGTCTTCTAGCTTAAGAATAAGTTTTTAAGTAAGACGTTGCAATATGTTCCTAATTTATTACCTTAATTTCCACTGGAAGTTTAGTCTTAGAATGATTTTCAGGTTTTGCATGTAAAAATAACATCTGCATATCTTGAAATGCAGAACCTTGACCAGTAGCATCAAAAAAACAAATGTTATAAAATTGTATTGTAAGGAAGCAGCCATCAGTATAATGTCCACATTAGCTTCCTGTTGATGCTGAAAGTATTGAAGAAGTGCCAGCACTTAACCCACACTCCTACAATCTTCTTGCTGCAGCTCTGTTCTTATCACAGCTTCTGGCATCAGACAGGAAACTGAACTATGGAAGTAAGGAAGTTTCTTCTGTATAGCTCAAAGTCCAAGACAGTGTCAGGAAATATTGTATCTTTGGTGATTTTAGATCTTGCTGATTTTAAGAAGAGATCATTTAAATGATATGAAGTATAATAAGAATTAGCGTCTCCCTGCAGTGTTCACCTTTTCACTTCTGACTTGCTTACACATTTCCCTATATGACAAGTCTTGAATTCTCATCTGATTTTTTCCATCTACCACTGCAGTTGCATGCAGTGTTTTTAAATAAATAGATATATGACGTGCTGAATTACATACAGGTTAATAATTGGCAGCTTTAAAAATAATTTTGCCATTTTTTCTCATTTTTGTGGGTTTTTGTAAAATAACTTTGATCATATCAGATGATAGAATACAAGGTATTGATACAACATTTTTGGGAGATTCTTTGCATAAGTACATGTGTAATAATTATCACTTTAATTTTTGGCTCTTTTTGTGTTTTCAGCTTACAAATTTGGAGAGGAAGTGGCAGCACCATGAGCAAAATAACTTTATGATGAAGGAATGTATCCTTTTCTTTAAGAAATACAGTAAAATTCACACACAGTATTAATTGAGGAAGAAGTCTGTTTCCTCCAGCAGAACAAGACAGGACAGAATGGGGAGCAGGAGACAGGAGGAGAGGGGAATGGCTATACTTTGCAAATGTCTGATTAGCTGGTAGATATATATAGCAAAACTTGCATGTGTTGTCCAAAACAATTTTACAGAGTCCTAAAGCATAAGATTTGCCTTGCAGTCTGGAGTTTTTCCTGTTGGGTCAGTTTTGCCATTAGGCTTCATTTTAATGTCATCTTCACATCTGTCCAGCCTTATCTGAAATTGTCTGGCAAGTGTAGCATTGTTTGAAAATCTGTATTGCACAGTGACTTTGCTTGGTATTTTGCAGTTTTAAAACACCATAAATATAAACAATGAAAAAATGAACAACAGATTGTATACATTTAATGTATTTCTTATAAAAAAAAGAGGAATTGCGTATTAGAGAGAAAAAAATCATAAAAATGGGGTAAGATATGACAAGGAGATGTTTTAGCTGCAAATAGACTGGGATGGGGGAACTGCATTGTAGCTCTCATTATGTGATGCTAATTAAAAAGTTACATTCCACTAATCGTGTAAGACCTTCCACAACATCAGCAAAAATCTTATGTGCTGCAAGTGACTTTCACAAGGTAGTTTTTGAAATTAGCAAAAGCACTGAAATTTTTTTTTTAATTAGAATTGATGGTTCTTCTTATCTTGTACTATTCTCTATACTTACTGTGGAAATATGAGTAGGGCATAGTTGAACTTTTATTTTATATTCTAGGGAGTTCAAATTCACTGCAATAAGTTCACTTTTATAAAACTAGGAAACAAAAAATATGAAATCTCAAAGATGCATAGAATCACAATCGTATGATTATAGTACAAATGTAATTGGTAAAAGTAACAGCAAAACTAGACCATATCTTCCAGTGTTGTGTGTTGGACAATGGACATTGCTACATGTCTCAGAAAATGGCACAAGGGCATATTTCAGGGAATTCTGTAATAGTCTAGCCATCGGGGAGAAAAATATATAGAATCTGCATATAGCGTTATCTTTTCCATATACCAAATATTCCATTTCTCTTATCTGTTAAGTGCTCTAATTCTTAGAAAAAAGACTTGGACAACATAATGTAATTGGAGCCACCTCCTCTATGAAGAAGGCTCTACAGGAATATTTTAGTAAGGCAAGAATCTTAGATCTTATTTTTCCTAACACAAAAAAACTCTAAAACCAAGCATGAGAAAAACTTGATTGGGATATTAAAAGTGCTTTGTAACTTGCTACAATGTATTACCTATCCAAGTGCAGACCATTATACAGAGTTTTATGTCTGCTTTTTTGGACTGAGAATTTTGTAGTTGGAGTCCTAAGTGCTGAACTATATGGCTGTAAATAGCTGAGTGCCTTGGAATGGTTTTGTTTGCAATATAACAATGGGTAGAGTCTTTTAGGAGGGGCCTATTGCCTATATATGTGAAAACAAAACTGACCTAGGAGTGTAAACTTTTTTTTTTTTAACAAGCTTGGCATAAGATGGCAGCTAGTAAATTGGTGTAAATCCTTTAGACCAAATTTGAGTTTTTTCCATTATTTGCAACCCTTGACAGTTTCCACAGAAGGAAACTTGCTGTATTGTGGTTCCCTGATGATCTCTAATTATACTAATATTTATACTGGGAATTTGTTTCCTTAATTCTTCTAATCAGTCATAGCAACAAAAACTCAGGAGAGTGACTACCAGCCAGTAATGAAGAACGTTAGAAAGCTGGTCACAGAATACAACAAAGCTCTCATAGAAGCTTTACAGAACACCAAGAACTGAACACAGGCACTTCTTTCCTGTCCCAATGGACCAACAATGAGAGATGGGCACAGGCAGCATGACAAGCTGGGCTACTGAGCTCATTTGCTCATCACTACGGTGACAGATATTCTTAAAAGTATTTTTCCAGGTTTTTAGAAGTCACAGGTTTTAATAGTATCCCTCCTTTTGCAACATTTAAAAATTTTAGAAATAAACTTCTGAATTTTAGAAACTTGTAAACAGAAAAAGGAAATATTGCACAATGAGTGTAAAATCATCAGAACATTTTACTGAGGCCCATTGCTGGATTGCATCTCAAATGCAAAACTTCAGTCTGTTTCACACAATGAATCTCTAATTGTCTTGTAGTCCTATGACTGCTGAACAGAGTAGGAGTTTTCCCTGAACAAGGACTGCCTGACAGGGTTTCATATGCATTTTCTTAAATTAAGTGTATAATAAGATAAATGGTAATACCAGCATACTATCCCTATTTAAACAGCAATTTATAACAAGTAAGGAAAACATATAAGGGTGGCAAGCATCCTTTTTAGTCAGAATTGATTCATAGTATAAAGTCTTATAGTAAAAGCAAATGTACTTTGGATTTGTCAACAAATTTTCATAACATAGAATCCTAGAATGGTTTGGGTTGGAAGGGACCTCAAAGGCCATCTAGTTCCAACCCCCCTGCCATGGACAGGGACCCCCTCCACTAGACCACGTTGCCCAAAGCCTCATCCAACCTGGCCTGGAACACTTCCAAGGATGGGGCATCCACAACCTCTCTTGGCAACCTGTTCTAGGGCCTCACCACTCTAACAGTAAAGGATTTCTTCCTAAGATCTAAATCTACCATCTTTTAGCTTAAACATATTACTGTTTGTGCTATCACTACACTTCCTGATAAACAGTCCCT